TTAGTCAATGTCCCAATAAGCCTCTGTTTCCGAGATATTTGCGATTAAACTGCAAAATGCAGAATTGTGAGGACATTTTACAATGCAAATCAAGTAGTGTGACGCAGCGACATGGATTTATTTGGTGTCTGTCAAACTGACACTAGTGCTACTACATACTTAAGTTTTGATTTCAATTAGTTAATACGCCAAGGCACAATTTTTTCGAAATAAGAAATAAGCTTACAGTCTATCTCCAGCAAAATTTTAGTGGACGCAGTGCCAAACGGAGTATGAAAATGTATTGCAGTTAACGGGGGACATTTTGAGCAATTGCTGTAGAAAATTAATCTTATTGTTAGTGATTAAGATAACAAGATCCTACTGTTAAAGAATGATGTTTAGTAAATATTTTTTACTTAGATACTTATTGTGGCTTATTCTTTGTAAATACTGCATTTTGCGGTGCAATTGCAAATATTTCGGAAATATAAGCTTGTTGGGAAATCGACTAAGAATATCTCTTTTGTACAAAATTAATAGGCGATTAGACCCAACCAGTTTAGAAGTCAGAATACCGGGTGACCAAAAAGTTAAAACATTTTTTTTGGCCAGATATCGCCGTAAGTGGTTTTTTCTACAAGTTGATCAAAATCTGATGATAGATTTGGATTTCTTATGCTCAAAAATCCCTGTATACCAAATTTCGTTAAAATATGCAGCTCCGTTCAAAGTGGAATAACAAAAAACTGAAATTAAAATGTAACTTTAACGTCCTGTATGTCGGCAACCGTCAACTTTTGGACTAAGGTAAGTTGTGTTAAATCATCATATTTTCACTCCAGGAATCCACCATTATGTTTGTGCCATTACTTTTGGGACACCCTGTATACAGGGTGATTCACGGTCGATGGCGTATTCGACGTTTAATGAGAATTCGATGCACGATCTATCTGGAAATTTATACAACGATATCGGATATGCTCTATCGGCCTAAAATATTTCCAGCAATGCGAGGTTGCCGCTCAAACCGCCAAAATGAAATATTATTCATTCCGTTTTGAAATATTAAATTTTCTGAAGCCGTTTCCGAAATATTAAATAAAATTAATTATTTTGAATTAAAACATAGCCCCAAGGATTATTGTATTACAACGCAATTTCGGCACCTAAAAATTCAAAATTTTGGTACTGGGTCAGCAAGGCGTACATCAATTTATTCCAAATTAAACAGGAAAATATTGACCTCTCAACTAGAGGTAAAAATTCCTCTAAATACAGTTTTTCAAATAGAAATCTCGTATATTTTATATACGTTCAAATACAAGACCATTAAGTTCTCGATGAAACGATTGAAATGTTTTTATACCTAAAGCTTCAAATTTCCGCAATAAATAGACATTTTTGTAAAAATTCTATTATTTCGACGTATTTGTCAAATTAGTCTTAAAATGTCATAATAGTTGAAGATTTAGAATTCTTCAAACTGGTTCTAAGCTTATCAGTCAGCAAAAGTTTGACAAGACAACTGTTGTGCTCTTTTGACGCAGTTGAGACTACTATTAACAAAATGGAGAGTTTGGTTGGAGAAACTTTTCATGAAACTATGTATTCTTCACGGCCAATGTGACCAAATTGTTGCAAGCAGAAAATTCAAYGMAATGTATCCTAATGTAAATCAACKGMMTKMSAASAAGTTGGTGSAAATGSARAAMRATTTCGTGAATTAYGGCACCAAACTGAAAGCTGAACCGAAGTTTCCRAACCWGTGACTTCTGATGCAGACAACMTTGTAAATGTTTARSRTACTTCTAWGTATMTMGYGMAGCTTMTGTTMRAARWGMYGCACATCMWGATMAAGCAAGYAAWGCTTCCGAACAARTTKWCAAARRTCGACAAKKYYTGWWKCMKATKGGAYRWTTSGAYASAAGTAAATACAAGTATCGTCGTGAAYRATCRARRYTKYWWASACTGTSACAGTCAAGACTGTTGTCAATYKTCTTAACTGAACTCAAAATAGAKAAAATTGATAAACATTATTAAACGTTATGTCACCCTTACTGAYCTRGCGTGACTTTTATATSGTACCATATTTACGACTAGMTCAATTAGATCAATATGCGTCATGACACCCTTACGTAAAGTKYGGCCTCWWAGCCGTGCCRATACAAWYACMTKGTATAGAAAKAAGTACTCGTATCGAATCGAATWRYCAAAAGTGYAAACAGCTGCACAGTCTATTGAAGARTTYGAGTTGRAWWTGTCACAGCSTTSAAGATCTAGCTGGTCTAAATTAGAAAACATGTTGGAAGGTAAAAGTTTTTTTTATGCTAGTACGKATRWTAACATACCTCCACAATGGACTTYWGAAMARKCAGTTTTAMAASTTTAGGCCAATAAATGTAAATAAATTATGTTTAGTACTTTTTCTTTATGGAATATAAKWGATATAYCYATTTTGCAGAAAGGTTCAAAAKACAACAAAACAGTGCAGGCTTTAACGTTTTTTGTCCGCAATTATTTGCGGCCTTCCAAAMTTGTGGAAGGAGAAAGATTTWTARGTGTTCCGAAWGTGCTTCAACCTAATTTTAAGGTACCTAAGTAKCTRGYGCWGCGTATTTAAAAAAGATGACSCAASAAWAGCAWAAAGCTTGTGTMSCTATAGCTAAAGCTAAAGCTAAATTGTCWAMRAYYGRYRWTKTKSGAAACYTTCAGAMAAAAYATTTTTTTGTTYACCTTATGRCAATAAATGCATTAAAATATATTCCATGAATTTTATTACAATCACTTCTTTAAACGGCTTTTTTACAGTTTAAATTCACGGTAATAGTGAATTTCAGTCTTGAAAAACTCATCGAAAATGTATACTTAAAATGTGTTTATACGTAGAGTCACTGAGTATCGAGTCAGTCAATAAAATTGTTAGCAGGTAATGGTTTCGATACTTTCAGAATACTGATATGAGCAGTATTGCAAGACGATTTGGTTACTACTCATTTGAGTAAGTATCGATACTTTCTCAGTATCGTATTGTCCCTACGGAAGCCAGAAGAAGCTTTCCAGCATTCAGAAGAAGCAGTCCAAGCCCTGCAGCTTTTTAAAAAACGTAATTTGGACACGTGAAACCAAATTTTCGACGAATTATATTTTCAATAGACAAAATAAACATTTCTGGGCGGATCATAATACACACGTGGTTCATTAAAGGGCATTTCAAGAAATAATCAGCACCAAAAGTTTTGCCTCCTAAAGGATAATGACATAAAGTTTCACCTTTATGATGAATCGTTAAATTCATTGAAGTCCGGGAAGAATAAATAGCTTCATTAAAATTTCTTTCTTTAAAATATTCTTTTTAACAATTGACTCTCTCCATTATAATTTATTAATAATAAAGTATAAACTATATAAAAAGCGCACAGAAGATGTTTGATAACTAAGCTCACAAATGATTTAAAGATCGAAAAATCTTCAACTATTATGACAAATAATCGAATTTTTGCAAAAATGTCTATTTATTTAGGAACGTTTAACGCTTTCGGTAGACACATGACACATCGTTTCATCGGGAATTTAATGTTCTTTCCGTATTTTAACTAATATACGGGGTGCTCTATTTGAAAAAATGTAACTGAAGCAGTATTTATCTCTAGCCAAAAGGCCAATATTTTCAAGTCACCCTGTATAATTTGGAATAAATTGTTGTACGCGAGGCTCAAGCATAGGGCTTAGCTGACGCAGTACCAAACCTTTAAATTTTGATAAGGTATCGAAATCGTGTTGTAATACAAGATTCTTTGGCGCTAAGTTTTGATTAAAAATAATGAATTTTGTTTAATACTTCGTAAACCGCTTTAGATAGATAGGTATAGGAATCGTTAAGCAAAAATAATATATTTCAGATCTAAAAAGCCAATCTAAGCGTTCAATAATATCCAGGGTGTCTCAGTTAAAATATTAAAGTTGTACGCACTTTTCGATATAAGCGGCAACCTCGCTTATTGCTGAAAATATTTTAGAACGTTATTATAGTATATATCCGCTAACTTCGTTGGACCAATTTTCAGATAGATCGTGAATCGCATTCTCCTTAATCGTCTAATATGCCATCGACCGTGAATCACCCTGGATACTTCGGTCGAGAAGACTATTAAATACCTATATAAAGTACTCGGTATATAATAGCTCACCAAGGCATATACTATTCTATAGTTCGTTGAAATGTATGTGGTTCGTTGATTTTGCCCCTCAGTGTACTTAAAATTACACACCATTGTAAAATATTTGAATATTTTTATTAGGTACACCATATTTTCCATTGTTTAATTTTTTTGGATGTTTAGCAATTTCAGTTTACTTTTCCTGTTTTTGTAATTACGTTTAATTTGCAGCTGTAGTGCATTGTGAATGATTTTCGCATTTAAATGTCACTCGGGGAATTATTTCGCTTGAACATCTCAATATGTAATTAGCAATCTGTAAAAAAATTCTCAGAAACAATTTAGACAAATAAAGTATTTTGACAGTAATTAATGCGATGGGAATAAAGTGAACCAATGAAGTGAAAATTCCTTCGTTATCTGCTATCTAATAAGATAACTCAACTTAAGTGTGCCTATATTTTCTGCGGGCAAAAAATTATTTCATGTTATTTTTACAATTGAGGAGTTGCACAACCCCACTTATTAAAAAATTACAAAAATTGTTACGAAAGTTCGAACTTAAACGTCTATAGTTCGGAGATGTTAGTTTGGGTACTGACCCAAACTAACCCAAATTAGTTAGTAAACAAATGACCCAAAAATTAGCTTTTTCAATCCTCCTAGATACGAAATGAATCGAATAAAACTTGAAAGCGCCAGGCAATACATAAGTCAAGTCCTACAAAGTGTTACAATTTTCACATCTACTAAGACAGTAATTAATTACTATTTGCTACATTTATTTCGTATCAAGCGCAGTTTTCCTGTCTATAAACTAGCGAGTGAAATTTCATGCATGTCCAACAATAAGCAACTTACACCAAAATTAAATAATTCCTGCTACTTTCCACAGCACACAAATTCGGCCGACACTTTCACTTACGACTTAGGATCAAGATTGAAAAAATCACTGAAAAGTTGTAAGTGGCAGAGAGCTATAAAATTTTAATATCGCGATGCGAAAGCAAATTTCTTATTGAAGGCGACTCAAGTTCCCCCTTGAAGTGCTTTCACTCGACTGGCTGTTTGCTGGCTATGCATGTGGTATTCACTAGTAAATGCAAATTATTGTTGATAAATTAACGTAACATACATTACATGATAGGATAATGACGACAACGTGATGGTTTCGCGATATCCACAGTAACAAGTTGGGGACGAATTTTGGCTGTTTACTACTTATTATGCTTCAATGCACTTATGCATTCAGCTCTAAGAACCAAGTTCGTTGCATTGATCAACAAATGATTCAAAGTGAGAGCAGCGTTCCAAATGTGTGATTGAATGAATGGATTCGACACCTTTGAAATACTTACATATGACAAATGGCACTTGAATCTGTAACTGGCTAAGCCCTAAAGAGAATGATAATCGGATTAACGTCATGATGTATCATGACATTCTATATTATTAATTGGAAATTCTATAAAAAGCAATGTACACCTTATGGAGTATAAGGGTTCTGAAAAACCGGAATAGATCAGCCTATGATAAATGAAAATGATCAGCAGTGAAAATGAAATAGCAAAAAATTAATGACATGCTTTTTTTAAGTACGTTCATTTACTTCCCCGGATCCTAAAGTACTACCAGCAAGATGGAGCTTCTGCAGCTTTCAAAAATTAGATGAAATGTTCCCAGGGTGTTGGAATAGTCGCCGTGAGGATATTAGACATATCTCCTATAACTCATTGTGTTATAAATGCTGCATCGGATACTAAAGAATCATGAAACCAGCACGAGCGCAACGAATGTTTTTCATAGATGAAGGCGAATATGTTTAGATACTATAGTAATTCTGAACAATACTATGATAAGCAAAATCATATTTATGAAATTTCCTATAAAATGGAAAACATGAATAGTAGGAAACTTGAAACAAAGCAAATTAAAAGAATATGCACATAGAATGTGAAGACAATGGCCCGAGCCACAGAATCCCAGCCTCCCACAGAATAAAGGACGTCAGCAGTAACTATCCCATAGAAATGAACATTAGTTAAACCAAATTCATAGTAATCAGTAGAAAAACTGGTGGAAAGTACGACTTAACGATCAACAACACACCAATAGACAGAGTATCACAGTTCACCTATTTGGGAACCATGATCAATCATAATTGGAACCACTCACAGGAGATAAGGTGCACAACCTCAACATCGACATCAAAATCAGACTGCTCCGATGTTATATTTTCTCGACTCTTCTATGGGAGAGTCTTGGATATTAACCAAGGCAACAACAAGCAAGCCTTCGAAATGTGACTTTACAGGAGGATGCTGAGAACATGATGGGTGGACAGAGTGGCCAAGAGAACAGATAGAATGAGGAAGGACTTGGAAGTAATGAATACCATTAAGAGAAAAAATCACATAATACCTCGGAGATATTATGAGAAACGAAAGCAAATATCAACTTTTAAAGTTCGTCCTCCAAGTTTATGACAGAAGACCACTAGGAAGAAGGAGAATATCTTGGCTTAAGAACTTAAGAACGTGGTTCTCAAAAGCTACTACCGAACTGTTAAAGTAACCGTGAACCAAGTCATCATATCCAGGATAATCGTAAATATTCGGACCGAATAGGCGTTCCAAGAAGAACAGTCCGTAGAATTCATAAATCGATGTCAAACAAACTCGTACATCACCGTATTTAAAAACTTAAGTTGAAGGTCTTGACTCTTGACTAGAATAGAATTTTCCAACGTTTATTACATCAGTTTGTTCAGATTTCGTATCTCTTAGTGCCGGTGCACACGAGCGTTTTTTAACCGCACCGTTAAAAAACGCTCGTGTGCACCGACACTTACGGTTTGTGAGGTCGCAATGTCCCCTCCAACTCGAATTTTTCTCTCATTTCCGCCATAAAATGTAACGAAATGTTTTAAATATTTGTTTAATGTATAATACGCTCTTGAAATTTGATATGATTCTTCTGGCGCCTATCGCGCCATTTTTAATTTGAGTCTCAAAAATCGAGTACACAAAGTGGTTCACTTTCAATCGCAAACTAATCTTACGAAGGAAAATAACTAACTAATAAAAACTGAATATAAACGTGTATTTACAAGATCCGTTACAGAAGTCTCTAATGCAATTTTGATGCAACATTTGTTGAGCGAAAAAAATAATTTCTTATCACTACGTGCCAACATTTCATTTCGTTCTGTTAAAATTGCGACACTCAAGCGCTGTGTTTATCAAGGCTTGTAGTCCTTGAAGGGGTCAACATAAATGTTTTTTTAAACATCTAATTCGAATCTGTGGTGAACGCCTCGTGCATTAGAAGTTTTACAGCTTGCAGTTGTTTTAGAAACTTTAAATTTTGTTTATACAGGGTGAATCGAAATTGGCGTCATTCCTCTGGAGGTGTTGTCTGGCGGTGTTTTAGGAGTACAGGAATATTAGTAAAAAAATTAATTGTTATTAAAGACTGAAAAATTTGCAAATAAACTATATCAGAAAAACGCCCACAATGTTTTTCAAGGTAATCTGCCTAATTAACATTACGTAAATAGCGGTTACTTCGTAATTATTAAAAACTCCGGTAACCATGGAATTATACAGAAAGTGACAATAAAATAGACAAGTATAAACGGTAAATTTAACAGGATTCGTTGAATGTCAAACGCACTTTTCCAAATTTCAATTATTGTCCTCATAACTTCAAATTGAGTTAACTTCAAACAAGTTAGTGCCTGTGTTATTATCTACTCTTCTCGAGCAGCTTCTCGTATTCGGTTAATTAACTCCTGCTCTATTTGTACCCGTATTCAGTAAGCCATTGGTTTAATCTGTCCTTGTGCAGTGCGTATCTTACTACGTGGTAGCTACATTCCTATTTATTTGCTGCCTGGGAAAGTGTCAGTTGTGCAATGCTCTGAGTGCCCTTGGAAGGCTCTGCTGCAATTATGTCCAATACTTGTTCCTCTGTCTGGAACCCGAACATCTATTGTCGTCTACTATCTTCCTCTAGTGTCTCTTGCCTTTTGTTGGTGTGAGGACGTACAGCTTCTGCTATGTTACTGTGGCATTTTCCCAGAACTAATTACATATCCGTAAATTCGTGAAAGGAGCTTCAAAGTAAGTCAGAGTTTGACAAATTATTGACAAAGGCTATCCACCTGTAACTATATGTTAATGACAAAAAAACATTATTGCCGCTTTGACTTTTAATCAAAAAATTATAGAAAAGAACTTTTTTAATATCAAACATTTTCGTAATTTTTTTCTTTTTGAATGCGAAAGTATTCCAATATGCTACCAATTAAACATTGGGCAATTTCAAAATAATGCTTAATGGCAAAGTTAATATTCGATTTTCAATCGTTTGGAAGAGTACGAGAGGACAATGGACACAGGAGGCTTGACGAGAGCTGTGCAAGCTATACTATACTAGTACAGGCTGTACAAAGCTGCTTGCACACATAACATTCCTGATAGGATACAACGTTCACGTTTAGCAAGACAACAATTCATCAAGGGCAATAGTATGGATGAAACATTCTTTTTAGGCGAAAATGCAGAAAGAAAGCTGTGCAGCCACATTCAAAAGTTGTAAGCATCTAGTTTTGCACCAAGGTCCAAAAATTTAGGGTGATAGCTTACCATCTAGAACAATTTATGGGTGTACGTAATCGATTTAATCAAAATAAAA